TCATGCTCATTCAAGAATCAAAAGAAAACCAAAATCATTAAGGGAAACCAAATTCATCCTCTAATTATCAATGCCACAAAACCGTAATTGTGAAATTAAATGATTGGGGAAGACGAAACAACTACATAATCTTGGGGGAAACTCTCAAGATACCAAAGGCTACATCTCAGTGTAAGAGATTTTCACAATGATAGAATTTTGTTACCTGAAGGACACTACTGTGTTCTACGGCGAGGATCTCAAGTATTCTACGTAGTCGGCAACTTTCGGTAAACATCTCTCTCTCTCTCTCTCTCTCTCTCTCTCTCTCTCTCTCTCTCTCTCTCTCTCTCTCTCTCTCTCTCTCTCTCTCTCTCTCTCTCTCTCTCTCTCTCTCTCTCTCTCTCTCTCTCTCTCTCTCTCTCTCTCTCTCTCTTTCTGTATGTGTGGTTGTTTTTCAATTATCCGTGTGTGCGTCTCTATATGTTTTTGAGTCTGGTGATGTTGTTGAGTTGAACCGCGTCGGTGTTACGAAATGGTGTAGAAGTTGTTGCTCTGATGTTGAATTGTTTCTATTGTGTCGATTTCAGTATGAGCTATTGTAAATTGCAGGTGTTGAGTGGTGTTGATGGTAGACTGTAGTGAGGTTGATGTTAATGATGTTGAGGGGAACAAGGATGAATTTGAGATGTTTTTAAAAGTTGAGACATGGGTGATATGAAGGTTGAAAATGGTGAATTTTCTCTGTTTTTTCTCCAATTCTCTGTTGTTAATCTATCTCTTACTAAGTTATTTCTCTGTTATTTTATAGTCACAACAACTAAAGTTTAGGGGGAAAGATTTTGATAATTTTCAAACAATTTCGGTATGCTGAAACTGCACTTTCTAAAGCAGTTTTTGTTTTGCTTTTCGTGTGTAAGTTTTGGACTGATTATTGCAGCTATTTTGATAGTGTTAGCTGGCTTTGTACATGGTTTTTTAGCAACTAATGCAGCCTGCTTTTGACAGTTCTATGGACAGCAGTGGCACAAGGTTTTGGACTGGCTTTGGGGACTGGTTTATGCAGGTTAATTTGTAGCAAGGATTTTAACAGGTTTTGTATTGTTATGGGCAACATAACATAACAGGCGTTGGACTGATTTTGCAGCATTGCTAGCAGGCTGTAGCAGGGCAATTTTGACATGTTGTGGACTGTTTTGGGTTAGGTGATATCTTTTCAAACATGTCTCTTTTCCTCTTTGTCTTTCTGTGATGCAAATCCATTTTGCTTTTTACACAATTTCTGAAGGGTTAGTACTTTTTAGGAAAATGATGAGGCATTGGGTTTGAGCTATTTGATAGCTTGCCATTTTTCATGAATTGCTACTGTGCTATTTGTTTTACTTGTTGATGCTGTCTTGACTTGTCATTATATTTGCCTATGCTGCCTTGCTTGGCCTATTGTGTTGCAGTTTTGCTGCATTATTTTATTTTGTTGCAGGTCTGCCCATTTTTTCCGCGTTATTGCAGCCTGCTACTGTTTTGCTTTTTGTGTGCTTACTGGCATGTTGTTTGTTGTTTGGGTCAAGGCTGCTACATTACGCTTGTTGGCCTGCCTTGTGTATATTTGTTTTGGGCTGCTGTTTATATTTTCTTGTAGCTACTGCCTGCTGGCCTGCCCGTATGTTTGGCAATTATGACTTTGCTTTTGCAGTAAGAAAAATATTTGCAAACCTCTTTTCCTTTTGTGAACCGAAATCCAAACTTTTGTGATTTGCAAAATAGGAGGAGATGGTTTATGATTGAAAAAAAAAAACCTTTTTTTTTCAATTTCTGATTCCAAATGCCAACCCTAATGATGAAATGCGCATTTCTTTTAACAATTAATTCTTGCTTGGAATCCTTTTTTAAACTTTGATGGTTTGCTAACTTTTTTCTCTTTTTCTTGTTTCATGAACACGAGGATTGGACGGTCAAAGCGATGTTGAAAGATGAAAAGGCCATGGTTAGTAAGGAGTGGACGGGTTTCTTGAAGATGAAACAAAGAGACTCGAGGAAGAAACATTTATTTCCTTGTAAACAAACAATTATAACTTGTATTTCACTTGTAATCCGTTTTGTAAATTGCCCACAAAAATGTAACTTGAACACAAAACTTGAGTGAATTTTCTAAATGATGAATTTATTGTATGGAAATCAAACAACTCTTGAATCTTGATTGAAAATGGAAATTTCCACTTGAATTATTTGAATGACATATATTACCTTTGTAACTTGAACTTCAAGAAAACACAGATGACCTTAGTAACTTGTCCTTCAAGTAAACCATGCGCTTTGTCTTTCAGTCCTCAATCTTTATATCACGTCTAAACCAAACTTGCACTCTCGACAAGAACTTTAACTTTGATATCTAAACCACAAGTAACTTGTAACTGAAGCAAGAAAAACATGCCTTGATCATCATACGAGCTCGTAACATCCTCTCTTGTTTTATAGCTTAAACACTTGCTATATTAATCACAACCCTTGACCGTGATCCAAGACTTTTAAGAATATCCTCGTGACTTGACGAAGAAGGAAATCCACGATACCTCAGAACTTTATTCCACAATCCACTAATCAAGAATCAGATGAATTTGCATTTTACCTGATAAAGAAAACCTCAAACCAAAGTTAACCATAAGGATGGAACAACCCTAATGCTTTGAACCAAAGTGCCCGATTCCCTGAGATGCATGCTATGCAAATAACTTAATAAAAGTGATGCAAATGAGATGCAAAGTCTAAGCCAGACAGAAGTAAAAAGGTAGGGCAAAATTGGAGTACGACACTTTTCTAAGTAGGTTTTTATAGGTATATCATCTAAGTACCTTATATCTTGAGTAAGTCTCTACTTCTCATGTCTGATGAGTGATTGTCTAATTTCCATATCTTTCTTTTATCTTACTTTGATGACATGATATCATTGTTAAGTGTTGATGTTTTATCATCTCTTTTCTATCCTACTTTGATGACTTGATATCATTGTTAGGTGTTGATGTTTTATCATCTTTTTTCATCTCTTTTCTATCCTACTTTGATGATGTGATATCATTGTTAGGTGTTGATGTTTTGTCATCTCTTTTCATCCCTTTTTCTATTCTACTTTGATGGCATGATATCATTGCTAGGTGTTGATGTTTTATCATCTTTTTTCCATTATACTTTAATGACTTGATATCATTATTAGGTGTTGATGTTTTACCATATCTTCTTCTATTCTTGATTAGTGCTTAGGTTTCTATCTAATTGTATGTGTGTTTACGTGTTACTTGCTTATCTAAGTAGATATTTGTTTGGTAACCTGTCTAAGTGCCCCTTTTGATGATTGCTTGCCTTTTTTATCTTATTAAGTATTGATTGCTTGCAATTCTTCTTCTCCTTCGTCCTCTCTTTTATGAGATTTGCATGCTCCCTATAGGACCTTTAGTTCATTCTTCTCTAAGATTGAACTAAATAGACCTTAGGTTTAGAATTCATGTATGACAATATTAGGTAGATCTATCTCTCATCCCAACTTTAGATCCACAAACATGACAACTTATAGGATTGAGACACCCTTTTGTTTAGTCTTTCTCTTTTGCATTCATATTAAAACTAAAACTCTTTTTCTTAATCAAATTCATAAAACACTCTAACATCACAAAATCATTTTTCAAGGTAAAAAAAACACAAACCAATGCAAATCTTTTTGTCTTCAGACTTTTTCTTTTAAAACCTTTTCAAAAAGGATATAATTCGCTAGCATCATTCATAAAAAACACACAACAAACCAAAATACCTTTTTAGATGAACTACGAATGCCCTGATCCCCTATTACACGAAAGGTGGTATCGGTACGTAGGCACAAAGGTTCACAACCGCGACGGACACAACTAATAAAAACTTTTTTTTTTGTATATACTCTACATGCATTCCCTTAGCATTAGAATTTAGGCTTTTTACACAATCTTAGATTAGAACAAACTTGAGTGGATCCTGTGGAGTACCACAGACGTGAGGGATGCTAATATATTCCTCTTGCATAATCGACTTCCTTACCCTTTCTCTTGGTCGTAAGACCATGTTCTTTTCCTTTTTTTTAGTTTTACTCAATGTTTCTTTTCCCTCTCCTAGGATAAATAACATTGCTGACGACTCTTCTTTCCGCCTCCTTCGCGCTTCGATGAAAATCCCAGACACGCCAATACAGTTCGAGATGATTATAATTGGCTCAAAAGACTTGCATTTGTTTAGAATACAACAAAGAATATATTTTGGAAGTAGGTGTGCCATATTCTTGCTCTCCGAGAAGGTGAAATTCTTCCTTTAGATGGCTTTACATAAGTCCCTTCCTATGAGATCAATGTTATGTCATCGTGGTAAGTTCTAAACAAATCTTTGACCTAGATGCAATTAGGACGCTGAAACGACTCTGCATTGGCTTCTTGAACCCCTATTCTTCTCAGGAAATATTTTATATGATTGAATTAGATATAACATCGATGATATTTCTATCTTTTTATATTAGAGAAGAGAGCGTTGCTAACACTCTTCGACATATTAATGATATAATAGTCTAAAGCTAATTAATTATTGTAATTCAATAAATGAACTAAATTAAATTGATAAATGAAACTTGTGTGTTTGCTTTCTCTCTTTACTATTACTTTTTTACTTGACAAGTCCAGTAATTCCGTATCGCACCCCACATGATACCAATTCATAAACCCTAACGCCGAGTAAGCAAGCAGTAAGAACCAACAACTGTGGCATCATCCCTTTCATCCCCGCAGTCACCTCCCATCAGAATCACCATCTCCCCCACACCGCCGCCGATTTCAAAAATCTCCGCCGTATATCCCCGTACGATGCACCAACCGCATGCACTATCCCGCTTCGATGAAGAACAATCGTGATCCAAACCTCAATCCTGCACGTGCTCAACCAACAATCACCATCACCAATGCCGTCTCTTGGCACGTAACGCTCCCCGAAGTCGCCGGCATCAACGCTTTCTCCCTATGGGTTCCATCAATAGGACTGAAGCTTGGTTCGTTAAGATCGCTTGCACCGTCTTCGTTCGTTACAATTCATTCGACCGTTTTTTGTTTTATTTCAGGAAGCATTTAACTCCAAATCTAGTTTCTGAGATTGTTCGTTTTAGGTTTAACAATTTCCCTTCGTTAGGTTTTAAGGTTGTTGAATTCAGTAGGCAGAAGTTGCAGATGAAACATAGTTATTGGACTTATAGTATGTTAATGAGATCACTTTGTGAATCAAATTGTCACGTTTCGGCGAAATTGGTTTACGATTGGATGAGATTTGATGGGCAGGTTCCGGATAATTGGTTGTTAGGGTTTTTGGTTTCGTCGTATGCGTTGATTGGTAGGTTTGATGTTTCTAAAGAATTGCTTGCTGATGTGCAGTGTAGTAATGTTGGAGTGAATGCCGTTGTTTACAACAATTTGTTTAATGTTTTGATTAAACAGAGTAAAGTAAGGGTTGCGGTTGATATGTTTTGGGAGCTTATTCAGTTGAAGTATCGTCCAGTTACTTATACGATTAATATTTTAATGCAGGGTTTGTGTAGGGCTGGAGAGATTGACGAGGCTTTTAAGCTTCTTAGCGATTTGAGGAGTTTTGGTTGTGCGATTGATGTGATTACTTATAATACTATTATTCATGGTTTGTGCCGAGTTAGTGAGGTTGATAGAGCTAGAAGTTTGCTAAATGAGGTTTGTGTGAAAGGGGAAGTGGTGCCTGATGTAGTTAGTTATACGACGATAATATCAGGTTATTGCAAGATGAATAAGATGGAGGAGGCATCTTTGCTTTTTGATGAAATGATTAGGTCGGGAACTACGCCTAATACATATACTTTTAATGTTCTTATTGATGGATTTGTTAAGTTGGGTGACATTGTTTCCTCGTTAGCCTTGTATCGGAAGATGCTTTTTCCTGGCTGTTATCCCGATGTTGTTACTTTCACTTCTCTCATTAATGGCTATTTTGTTATTGGCCAAGTGAAATATGCCATGGAAATGTGGGATGAGATGAATAGAAGAAACATTGCTGCAAGTTTGCATACTTTCTCTGTTCTTGTCAATGGTTTTTGCAAGAACAACAGATTGCACGAGGCTCGTGACGTTTTGAGAAAACTGAAGCAGAGTGACATTGTTCCACAGCCATTTGTCTACAATCCTGTTATTGATGGATATTGTAAATCAGGGAATGTAGACGAGGCGAATAAAATTCTTGCTGAGATGGAGGGGAAGAGGTGCAAGCCGGATAAGTTGACATTTACCATTCTTATTATTGGACATTGTTCAAAAGGGAGAATGGCCGAAGCAATCACTATCTTTGATAAGATGTTGGCAGTATGTTGTGCACCTGACGAAATCACTATAAATAATTTAAGATCTTGTCTTTTGAAGGCTGGAATGCCTGCTGAAGCTGCCCGAGTTAAAGAAGCTCTATGTCAGGACAACACACTGAGTACTTCATTGAAGAAGAAATGTTTTCATGAAAGTACAAATGCAGATATACCCATTGCTGTTTATTGAAGTGCTATTGCAATCTAGTGGCGAAATGATGCTTCCATAATTTTGTATTCAGTACGTGTGCATGTTTCCGGCTTGTGGTACAAAGGAATACTATAATCAGGCCGAGTGCGTCTGTTTTCTGGAGATCACCAACATTTACATTTGCATGGCCATTCCCTCCAAGATTCTGCTAATTGTTTTTTAAGCTGAAGCTAGGTATATATTCTTCTCCAGTTAATTTGGTTGGATAGCCTTTTAACAACTTAAAAACATTTTTTTTCTTATGGAATAACATGAACTGTGTAACATTACAACAATAACAACAACCAAGCCTGTGTAACATGAACTGTGTAATATTAATGTGTTAAATTTTTTTGCTAGTAAAATTTTGTTGTAAAGAAGATAGGTAGATTATTAGGTAAGATACAGAGAGCAACAATTGAAAAGGGGACAAGGAGATTTCTTTGTTTTTGTGCTCAAAGGTTGGTAGCATACTTGATGGCAGGTAGTTGTTTCATGTATTCTCATCCATAAGTTGTCGTTAAAGATTTAGGCTGAAATGTAAGGAACTCCCCTTATCTACAGGCCAATAACAAAAAATCTCCCTATGGTTTCAAACCCTGCAATTCAACTCGTTTGACTTAACTAGCTATGCATGTTATTGTTGACTACTTAGTGGTTTTCTGTTATACATGCACAAAGGGTTAAATTTACAGTACTTTGCAAAGTTTTGGGAGTATAGGGAGTTGGATTGCTGAGTTTTTAACAATCAGCATGTTTTCTGTAGCCTATAGTTGCAAGTGGATATGTTCAGTTTTGCCTAATATTTACTGTGAATTTGGTGAATTAGAATTTACTTAGATGTAGATACTTTGTACTTGTTTCATAAGCATCCACCCAATTCTTTGTTTCTTTTGAGAAAAGGTAACTACACAACAAATGTTGGATTAAGAGTTGAGCTTTTTTTTCTTCAAAATATTCTTCAGTTTCGCTCTCCCACTCTCACTTTAAATAAGGCATATGAATCAACAGAAATGATGATTTACATAATTTGTAAAGTTGGTTGCATATTTTCCTTTGACAGGTCTGGCATTGGTATTTTGAATTGCAATTGTGAACTTCAACAATCCCATCCCACGCAGTGAGTCACCAAAACCTAGAGTTTTTGGCATTGCAGGTTCAAGACAAAGCACTTCTCAGTTTTTTTTGTACTTGAAGATGCCCAATTTTCGCGATTCTCCATCTCGAATCCCACACATGACTTGTAAGCAGGTCTGTCAATGAGTATAGCCTGATTCTTTACAAGTTTAAAGCTCGCTGGATGTTACTAATAATGTTTAACAAGATAAGGTGGTGAAGTCATGTTGAACAAAATTTCATGCTTGAAGTCCAATTAATTTATAATTGGCTAATTGTCTGGCCTTTGGGCTTGAATTCTTCCGTGAAATAAGGTTTCTATGCATCCTTTTTGGCTCATGTGATGTTGGAGGGTGTAACCAAAGTTTTCATCAGAGAGGTGAAGAAGTTTCAATCATATATGAATTTTTTTATTCTTTATGGACAGGAGTTTCCCATAAAATAGCAGGTGAATAGCTATAACATATGGCTGATTTGGTAAAGTGTACCTTTGAGGAAGAGTTGTATATTGTGCCTAAAAGAGGCTATTTCCCAAATCACATTAGGCAGCTATAAACTTTTATAATTATTTATCTGTTTTACTGGAAATTTGATTTATTCATTAGAGTTGTTTTGACAATTTATAAATTAGTTTAGCAGTGCATGTGCCCCTTTAGGCCATGAAATGGTGTGTGATTGTTGATTTTTTACCAAACGATTCGAGACCAAATAACATTAAGAAGAAGTAAAACCTTGGAAATTGTATATTAATGGATCAATTTCAAGGGCCTGTGTGTATAACGTTAAGAGTTTTTATTATATTTAGTCAAAGGTTTTGGCAATATTCTACAAAATTTCTTATTAGTTGAAATTTATAAGTTGCACATTAAACTATGTGCATTTTACTGAAAATTTTAAACTTGAGGTTGACTTGTGTAAAATAACTAATGACTTGAGCTAGGCTCATTTATTTAAATGAGTTTAACTTAAAAGTCAACATGTATATCCCTAGTGGCTAGGGGTGGACAACGGGTCGGGTTGGGCGGATTTGGGCCCAAAAGACTCATGCAACCCTACCTGCGGCTGAATCATATAGGCCTATTTCTGTCCATTTTTTAATTGGAAAGTAGCATCCTAACACTAGCAAAGCTGTATATCAAACATATATAGTGTCAGTTGCTCAATTTAGCACTTAGCATATGCAAATGTATACCTTGCCACCAATGAATGCAAATGTATCAGCCACAATAATGCTGCTTATGGAAATCAAAGTTGCCCTGATTGACCTGTGAGACCGATCTAAACCGCCCAAATGCCTTTTATTTATCGGTTTTATTCGGGTTACTCCGGGTGGGCGGATTTTGTCCACCCAGTGGCTAGTGGCATTGTTACCCATTATTCTAAAATTCTCAATTACACCTTTTGTCAAATCACATAGCTGTAATCCTCATTGTTGAAACATCTTGTATTTGTTGAACAATTCTTAATTAGTCATTGTCCATTTGTTGAACCATTCTATTCATTCACCAATAACCAAATTGTATTATTCTATATTTGTATGTTAAACAACTTGAAAATAATTATAACTTCCTCTTTTAATTGGAGAATAAAAAACTAAAAAACTAAGGAACATATCTTCCATGTGACATCCACTACAATTACACTACCACTCTTATATTTTTTGTCCATTCTCTTTATGTACTCTTCCTTGGGATACAATTGATAGCTCATCACACTTAGTTTACAGTAGTTTTTTTACCGTATAAAATCACTAAACATTTTTTTGAAAAATATTTGTATATATATACAAAATGATTTTCATTTCCATTAAGCTTAAGTTTCATAGCTTTTTTTATGTGACGAAGGAGAAGGAGATGGAGAACTCAACACACTTCCTCTACCATTTTGATGCCTGTCAATCCGCACACGAGGCCGTGGCTGTGATTGCGGCCGTGATTGTGATTGAGGCATTGGCGACCTAGGAGATTTAAGTGGATGATGCCTATGACCATTCCTATGATATTGACTGTTTTCTCTTTTCCTCTCCTTCGTGGATTCATCTTCCTTTGCTTGATCTTTTTCTTTAACCACCTCATTATTCTCAACTGGAACAGTGTAAACAAAGGGTCCAATTGGAATATCATCAAAATCTTGTAGAGGCTCCAATATCTTAACCACATTGCTCATTGTAGGCCTGCTCTTCGGCCTATGGCTAAGACATTGATAAGCCAATGAAGCTGCTTTTTTAGTACCCATTTCAGAGTACTGTCCTTCAAGTTTTGGATCCATTATTTTGCTAAGTTTTCTTGAATCAATTAACATTGGTCTTGCCCAATCAACTAGGTTTTGTTCCCTTGTAGGACGGGTTTTGTCCACTGACTTTCTCCCTGTTAGCAATTCCAATAAAACAACTCCAAAGCTATACACATCACTCTTAGCTGTCAAATGACCTATAACAAAACATTATTAAAACAAAATTGATTTAGTCATAAGAATTCCAACTCAAGAACCCTTAATTTAATCACATGATTATCATCATTAATATCATACATTATCATTATTAATTGTATTAATACACAACAAAAATAACTTTATTTTAAGTAAAATTTGGTTCAAAATGTGTTTATTTTTACCTGTCATGACATATTCTGGGGCAGCATAGCCTTGAGTGCCCATAACTCTTGTTGAAACGTGGGTGTCATCTCCTTCAGGTCCATCTTTTGCCAACCCAAAGTCAGAGAGTTTTGCATTATAATCCTAAAAAAATAAATTAGAATAATAAGTATAATAATTAAGAAATGATGCTTTAGTTAAGACTTTCTAATTGTCCTGCACCATTAGTGTTATTTTTTTAAGCCAACTCAATTGATAGCTGGACATAGACATTCGATTACAAGAGTGCAAGTTCCTAGGATACTACACACAAAAAAAAAATCATTGGATTAATGGAAAATTAGAAGAAATGTGATACATACAGAGTCTAGCAAGATGTTTGAAGCTTTGAAATCTCTATAAATAACAGGTTGCTCGGCTTCATGAAGAAATGCTAATCCTTTTGCAGCTCCAACAGCAATCTTCATTCTTGTAGACCATGGTAATGATGCTGAAAATCCTATAACAAAAAATTAAAACAAAAAAATGTAAGTTTTCTACTTTAAAACATATTGAAATAAAAGAAGATAAATACTAAAAAAAATCTCACTTCTAAATAACTGATTTTCCAAGCTTCCTCTTGGTAAATATTCATACACCAAAAGTCTATGCTCATCTTCAATACAATATCCTATTAGCTTCACAAGATGTGGATGCCTTAATTGTCCAAGAACAACAACTTCAGTCTGCAATAATAATAACCACAACTTACAAAATCAGAAGTTATAAAAAAAAGCACTTAATGGTAAACCATGATACTAAAAAAAAAAGGTGCTTACCAACCACTCTTTATGACCTTGCTTGCTTTCCAAGTCCAAGAGTTTAACAGCAACAGGTTGAGCTTTCAAACCCGGTCTAACCCTATCATCGATAAAGCCTTTATGAACCGGCCCGAACCCACCTTCGCCAAGAAAATTACTGGAAGAAAAGTGCTGTGTTATAGCTTTAAGTTCAAGAACCGTAAACTTATAGAGATTAGACCCTGCTAGAGAAAGAGAATTAGTTAACTCTTGGGAGAAAGTGGTGTTTTGATAACTCAAATCTTCTATAGAAATCCTATGAGTTGATGGTGAAGTTGATGAGTTTCTTGGTTTTGTTGATACAACTTTCTTTGGCTTTGGTGATGGATACTCTCCTTGGAAACAAGTTGAAGGGAGAATAGATTTCAATAGGGTTTTCATTGTCATTGTTGTTGATATTCAAGAGTTTTGAATAATTAATCTATAATCATATAGTAGTTTGTATTTGGTGTATATATAGATATTTGAGGAAGATTTTGTTGGTGAGAATTTGTGAGGAATTAGGTAGGAAGAGAGATGATGAAAAATTTGGAAAGAGTTTGGAAGAGAGGTAGTATTCAAAATCTTCAACTGCTCATGGAGAAAAGAGGTATTCACATTCTTTTTATATCTTCCCTAGGTTGAATTTTTCTTATAATCTTTTTCTTGTTTTGTTGTCTTGGTCCTATATGCGATGTAAATCTTAGTCTTTGTTCATACATGATACACATACATATAATCATTCTTTTTTTAAAGAAGTGGGATCAACAAATTATTTATTAATTATGATGTTATTGATAATTTTATAACTCTTTTTGTAATATTTATTAGTAGTTAAGGGTGTTTTAGAAAGAAAAAAAAAACTTTAAAAAAATAACACAATGCGTTGATTTTATTGGTATGTAAATACTATATAGTCATAAAAAGTATGAAAATATAGTCATATAATTAATCTCTCTATTTTATATATATATATATATATATATATATATATATATATATATATATATATATATATATATATATATATATATATATATATATATATATATATATATATATATATATATATATATATATATATATATATATATATTATATTTTAAATTCAAATAGTTTTAGTCTTCCTGTCACTTTTTTTTAAAGAAAATCAATAAATTTTTTATTTTTAACTTATATTTTTATATATAAAATTCAATAATAAATTTATATACGATAATTTATCATGTTTTATAAATAAATTATTATTTAAAAAATGAAAATATTGTTAATTTTAAGTGTAAAAATATGAGAGAAGATTAAAATTGTTTAAATTTAAAATAAAGAGACCAATTTCATAAATCAAATAAAATAGAAAGACTAAAATAAATTTAAAAATAATGCACATAATATTTATTAGAAAATGCAATTGTCAATAAATTTTTAAAGCTATATTGACAATTTATTTGAGAATTGTTTCTTCTTCTTGTCAACTTTAAATATAATAACTACTTTTTATAATTAAAATGATATTAATTTAAATTAATAGAATACATCGAATAATATAAATTTAAAATTGTTATAAATTGAAAATGATGAATTTGTGAACAAACTTACATAACTCATGTTAATAGTATATAACAGTAAAATGTTTACAATGTAAAGAAATTGAAATGTTCGGAATATCATGTCTCAGATACTGTAGTGTTGACGATGTCAAAGTCATTATTTGAATATGTACTGAGTTGAAACTAATCTGTAAATCTGAACCGAACAAATAACACACCAAAATAGAAAATAAAATAACACCGCAATAAAACGACGGCCAACACAATATCACACTAAGACGACGAAATTACGAAAAAAAATTATAAATATATATGAAATTACTTATTTAAATAAAAAGAAAAGGAAAAAAATTCATATTAATAATTTTGGATAAAAAATTTGTGGATAAAAAACAATAGAAAACTAAAAAGAATAACTATTATAAATCTTTATTCACCTAACATATTTAGATTCTTAAGTTAAAAATAGAAACTAAGTCATTAAAGTAAGAAATTTAGGCCCTCTTATGTTAATATATAGGGGGAGTGTGACCTAAACACCATATACATTTATGTCTTGACAACAAACCACTATAATGTAAAATCGAGACATAAATTTATTACTACTTGATTAGTACTATTCATTTCCTATTTAAATAAAATAATTTTTTATTTATTTATTTTTAAAGTTTAATATATTATTAATTAAAAATTTGTTAATAATACTTAGTTATTCATTGTAGAGAGATATATGAATAAAATGATAAATGATTTAGGACAATATAAGAAAAATAAAAATAATAATATTAAAAAAATTTTTTTTTGTTAATTATCTTATATAAAAATTAAAAAAATCATGTAAAAAGGAAGAGAGGGAGTGGTTGTTTGTTTGACTAGAAACAATTGAGAAAGATCTTATATAATTTGTCTCATTTCAAGTGTGATATGCTATTTAAAAATAGACACATATTCAAATTTAAAAATAAATATGTGAGAGAGAAATAAAAATTGTTTAAATATATAATAGAGAGATTAGTTATATGAATTAAATAAAATAGAAAAATCAAAATTATAATTAATTTTTTTGATAAATTAAATTATAATTAAATTTAATATTAACTAGAGGTAGCAATTAATCAATAAATAATTAAAGCTCTATTGACAAGTTATTTGAGATTTTTCTTCTTCTTCTTCTTTAAATATAATAATTACATAAAGTAACTTTTTGGCCTAACCTAATTAAGACTATCTAGACTATCTTAACTTAAAAATAGAAACTAATTCATCAAAGTAATGGAGATTTATTTTAAGAAAGAATCTCTTAATGATTTATATTTTAATGTGCTTTGATTAAATATCAATCTCAAATCAAATGCTTAAGAAATTCAATTATCTTTTAACTAGTTCATACTCCCTCTGGTATCATTTATAAGAAAAAGTTAACTTTTTAGATACATTAAATAAGTAATATATTTGGACAATATATTGTCCAAATACATTACTTATTTAATGTATTTAAAAAAAATTTTTCTTATAAATGAGACCGGAGGGAGTATTAATTATTAATTTCTTATAAACATGTTAGTAGTTGATTTGTACTACCTCATTTCTTTTTTACATGTCAAATTTGCATAATTTTGTTTATTTTTGATTATTTTTTATTTTAAAAATTCAATATGCTCTTAACTATAAATTTATTAATAATATTTTAGTTATTTATCGTATAGAGAATATAAATGAAATAATAAATAATTAAGGACAATATAAGAAAAAGGAAAATAATAATATTAAAAAATCTTGTGATATATATATATATATATATATATATATATATATATATATATATATATATATATATATATATATATATATATATATATATATATATATATATATATATATATATATATATATATATATATATATATGGAAGAGACAGAGTAGTTGAAACATGCAAGAAAGATCTAAATAATTTGATTAATGGAGAACCGGTTATCCTAAGTCTAACAAGTTGGTTAAAGGAAAATGACATAACTACCCTTTACCGCTTGACTTTAGTGCATTTATGTTTCATAAGTTTGAAAAAGATGAAACTTTTGTCATGTCATTTTTGGAATTTATATAACATCCAAGAATCTATGATTTTATTTCTAAATTTAAAGATTTCATGCACACGGAACCAGAAATAGTTTCTAATTTCATTTTCTTCTAGGTTTTGTTGGGTTAGCGTTGACATTGAATATTTATAACAAAGGTTGTTGTTTGGATGGACACATCAATCAACACTTTCTCTCTAATTAAGCAAACTTCTAGTAGAAGTTTAACATTTCAAAATCGATTAAATTTACAAAAAAGAATGACATGTAATGCTTAAGCAATTATGTGATGATTATATAATGATATAGTTAGAGGGTAGTTTAGTCATTTGAAGGAGGCATTTCTAACGTGTTTGTTTTTAAGAGTGTTGAAAATAAAAGTATGCTTGGTTGGATTAGTTTCTAGAAGATTGAATCGGATTTAAATTAATCAACCTTGTTGTTGTATATAAAATGATAGGAATCAACATCAATAAGCAGATTAATCGGAAGGATTTGCATTCGGTTACGATTAACACGAGGACTTGGATTAATAATTAATTATGATTCTAGATAATAAGACTAATACAAGTGGTTTATATTGGACAATGCCTACACTACGCGGTAAACGTAGTTGATATGCAAATGCTAGAGGGCTTGAACAAAAATAAGTCATAATAAATCAAACTAAAAAAATCAGTAGCATGAATCAATTATTAACATCAAAAAGGTTTTTTTTAAGCAAACAAATATTTGTTGGAAAAAAGAGTTTTCAAAAAAGATGATTGATAAAGGAACAAGAAGAACGAAGAAGAAGAGAGAGAGATTAAAAGTTTGTTATTGATTCTAACTAAATTGTAAAATTGAATTGTGATTGCATTGTAAAATTACAAACTAACAAGTCTTTTATATATGCATATAATACACAAGTCCAATTCGACTATATACAAACTTTAGTCCAAAACTACATTTCAACAATACTGCAATAGCTGTTGTATTCGACTCTGTCGAATACAGCTGACGAACTATTCAACTAGCTAATTCGATATGCTTTGGACACCACTAGTTTGTCGTACGCTCAACGCTATTCGATAGAACAAGAGTTACACCTTCTAACACTCCCTAATTCATGTTCTCGAGACTTTTCATCCTAATGTTTCTCTTTAACTCGTCGAATCTGACTTTCTTCAAAGATTTGGTGAATATGTCAGCTAGTTGGACTTCTGTCTTGCAATGCTTTAGCTCTAACTTCCCTTTGTTGACTTGATCCCTCATAAAATAATATATTCTTTCTATGTGCTTACTTCGACCATGATACACTGGGTGATTCGTCAGGTCAATAGCTGACTCGTTGTCGACAAACAGCTTAATCTTCTTAGGTTCCATTATCTTGAGTTCTTCAAGTAACATTTCGATCCATGCTGCTTGGCATGCAACATATGATGCATCCACATATTCTACTTCACATGATGGCAACCACAATGCTTTGTTTCCTCGAGTTCCAAGAGATTGAAGCACCTTCGATCATGAAAATGTAGCCTGTAATGCTTTTCTATTCGTCTTGATCTCCACTGAAATCTCAGTCAGTGTATACTTGAACTTCGACATATGTGTTGTTCTTCGACTTCTTTAGAAACAACACACCATGATCAATAAGTTCCCTTTATTTATCTCAACACCCTCTTTATTGCAATGAGATGACACTCTTGGGGTTTCTCCATAAATCGACTCAACAATCCGACACTTTGGCAGATATCTGACCTAGTATTGCAAAGATACCTCAAGGATCCAATGATTTGTTTTTATA